ATACGATAGATACACTACTTGTCACCAGTGTCACAACTGTCTTTTGCCCAAATATTTTTGTGCATTGCCGGTCTTAATCTGACTTCCTATGTTGTGATGATGTGTATATAAGAATTTAAGAGATGACGTCATATCTACTAATAAGAGCCAAAGGTTCTGTTGGGTTCCATTTACATTGAGGGCCCATTCATACTGGTGTGTTGCAGCAATGTGCCCTAAAATACACACAGGCATTGACTAAACGCATGGCAACACGCCTGTTCTATGTGTGGTGCATTGGGGTGCCATTCATTTTGAATTGTGCATTTGGCTCAACTGGATAAGGTATTGGGGTGCCAATCATTGTGAATTGTGTGTTGGGCTCTGCTGTATAAGGTATTGGGGTGCCATTCATTGTGAATTGTGTGCTGGGCTTTACTGTATAAGGTATTGGGGTGCCATTCATTGTGAACTGTGTGCTGGGCTCTGCTGTATAAGGTATTGGGGTGCCATTCATTGTGAACTGCGTGCTGGGCTCTGCTGTATAAGGTATTGGGGTGCCATTAATTGTGAGTTGGGCTCAACTGTATAATGTATTGGGGTGCCATTCATTGTGAATTGTGTGTTGGGCTCTACTGTATAATGTATTGGGGTGCCATTCATTGTGAATTGTGTGTTGGGCTCTACTGTATAATGTATTGGGGTGCCATTCATTTGAGTTGGGCTCTACTGTATAATGCATTGGGGTGCCATTCATTGTGAATTGTGTGTTGGGCTCAACTGTATAAGGCATTGGGGTGCCATTCATTGTGAATTGTGTGTTGGGCTCTACTGTATAATGTATTAGGGTGCCATTCATTTGAGTTGGGCTCTACTGTATAATGCATTGGGGTGCCATTCATTGTGAATTGTGTGTTGGGCTCAACTGTATAAGGCATTGGGGTGCCATTCATTGTGAATTGTGTGTTGGGCTCTACTGTATAATGTATTAGCGTGCCATTCATTTGAGTTGGGCTCTACTGTATAATGCATTGGGGTGCCATTCATTGTGAATTGTGTGTTGGGCTCTACTGTATAATGTATTGGGGTGCCATTCATTGTGAATTGTGTGTTGGGCTCTACTGTATAATGCATTGGGGTGCCATTCATTGCGAATTGTTTGGGCTCTACTGTATAAGGTATTGGGGTGCCATTCATTGTGAATTGGGCTCTACTGTATAATGTATTGGGGTGTCATGCATTGTGAATGGTATCCCAATGCTTTGTACAGTAGAGCCCAACACACAACGCATTGCAGCACACCACAAGACCTATACCATGTCATGTGGTGCCCGGCATTGTGTTACATGGCTGATAAATCAGATACTATGTACCTCATGCCTCTACAGCTGGGGTAGGCAACCCCGGCACTCCAGCTGTGGAGCAAATACAAATCCCATCATGCATCGCTCTCTCTGGTTGTCCTGTCTGTTGCTGTTACTGTCTTGCAATGCCTCATGGGATTTGTAGTTTCACCACAGAGGGAGTGCTGAGGTTGCCGAACCCTGCTGTAGAGCATGCCTTGACTCTGTGAATACAAAGTAACAGGTCCTCTTTAAATGAGCAAAGTTTGTGCTGCTGATTGCCAGTATGCGAGCATTGGTGACTTGACTCCAGCGTCTTATTTATAAACAAATCTGCCTTGTTTGTCATTATTACTGTTCTGTGTTGTATTTTCTGTAAATATATTTTTATTTCCTTTTTTTTAAGCTCAATTTACAAGTTAGATTTTTTGTTTATTTCCACCTAAAGGGCCCCCGGCAGCAACAGAACGCCGCCCCCTGGTGGCCACCTCGGCACCAACCGCGGTGAGACATTTCTTGGCTGCGCCAAGTGTAATATTTGCAGACTTGTTATGTAACAACGTTTCTTTTTGTTGGTATTCGGTGTCTCTGTCAGTTCCTGGAACTCTGTTGTCTCTGGGCGGAAAAATAAAGAAGGCCCGCACGCACTCTGATCAGAGGTACGCTGCCCGGGTTGCGCAATGCAAAGGTCGTGCAGACTTTGCTCTGCCCGGACTTGCTATGTTTGCATTTCTACAGGTACCTTTTGTGCCTGGTCTTTCAGGAAGCCTCCATCTTGGAGGCTCAGGAAAGGGAAGTGCATTCTCTTTTTTTGGGCTAAGCTACCCTAACGGTTTCTCCTACGAGATCTGAGCACTTGTTGGCCGTCAGCTCATTAGTTAATGGGAGATTGTTGGCAACTACAAATAGAACCAATGGCTCCCTATGAAGGAAACTACACGAGTAGCACGCACACGGACCAATTGGGCACATTGTGCAAGGAGAACCGCTTCTACATGACACTTGTGTAGCCTGCTCCATAGGCAGCCATTTGTCCCAACCGTTTTGTGATCAATATTAATTCAATGATCAAAAATCATCAAAAGAAGGGAAGAGCGCCAATCGGAATTGCGTCCTCTTCAGCTGCAAGCAATTGTGTCACTTGTACTGTTTTTTTTTTGTTCCTTTGTCATAACGCATTTGTAGTCTTTTGCGTTCGCTGTACGTTCTGATCACGTGTCGTCCTCCCCGAGGGAGCAACCCAAGTCAGAAAAACAAGTGTAAATTAAACCCCAAAAATGTAA